CCATTAGCAAATCATTTTAAGTTTTCTTCAAAACAGTGTCCAAAGACAGATAGAGAAATCGAAGACATGACAAATGCTCCATATGTCAGTGCAGTTGGCTGCTTGATGTATGCAATGGTAGCACTTGCCCTAATTTGACTCATGTTGTTAGTGAAGTCTGCAAATACATGTCTAAACCTGGAAGACAACATTGGGAAGTCTTCAAGTGAATTTTCATGTATCTAAAGGGTATTGTAGGATATGAAATTACTTTTTGTAGTCAACAGAATTATCCTTCAGTTGTGGGGTACGTGGATTCAGACTATGCAGGTGATTTGGATGACATAAGGTCTACAACTGGTATGTGTTTACTCTTGGTGGAGGGCCTATATGTTGGAAATCAACAGTTCAGTTTATTGTGACATTATCTTAACTAAAGCTGAGTACATAGCAATAGTTGAAGCTGCTAAAGAAGTCGTATGACTTACTGGGCTAGTAAAGGAACTAGGTGCTGAGTAAGGTGGAGTTCAGTTGCATTGTGATAGTCAAACTGTCATTTATCTGGCCAAGAACCAGGTGTATTATGCGAGAACTAAACACATTGATATCAGGTATCCAAGATCAGAGAATTGATTGCTTCTGGTGATATTTTGTTGCAAAAAGTTAATACAGTTAATACTAATGAAAATGCAAGCAACTGATATGTTGACCAAGTCAGTTACTATCAACAAGTTCTTGCATTGTTTGAACTTGTTAAATATTCACAAGTTCTAGAGAAGCATGGTAGCTCAACCCACTTTGGTGCATGTGAAACTCCTAGGTATATTTCTCCTAAAGGGTTGAGTATTCGCCAAGATGGAGATTTGTTAAGTACGACTCATATACCATATAAGGGACAGATCCTAAAGCAAAGCAAAGTGAAGTAGAAGCATTTGTCCAATTGGAGAAGTTTTTCGTTATATGGGTTGGGAGTGCGGGGCAAAGCCCTCGCGGTACGGTATAAGGGCAATTTTGTAATTACATATTTTACGTGAAGGTTATATATATATATATATATATAATGGGACATTGTACTCCTTTTCTGAATTGAAAGAAAAGCCGCTGCTCTGCTCCCGATGATGTAGGCATCTTTGTTGAACCTCATTAAATCTTTGTGTTTTCCTTCTAGATTTGTGTCGGTTCTTGGTTTATTTGCTCTAAAATTCTCAACAGGGGCTCTTTCAGCCGAATTCCTGAAGCTTAAGTTTTTTTCTTTTGAAAAATATTTTTGTAAACAATTAGAATGGACAACTTTGTAAACATGAAAATTTAGTAAATATGAAAATTTTATATACATATATTGTAATGAAATGAGAAAGTTCGATTGTCTTTAGTACCTTTTGGTTTTTACTTTTGTTGTACCTTTGTGATGGTTTGTGCGATACTATGTTTGTCTAGTGATCGAGGTTTCATATGAGGTTGTTGTCTTTTAACTTCTATGACCTGACACAAGTCTTACCTTGCCAATCTAATTTTACTTTTGCTCAGATTCGTCCCTTGGGTCAGTTTTCGCCTTTGTCGAGACCTAAGTGAGTCTCATCGCTGCCTTTTCGAAGGTCACCTCCTTGACTTTACACTAGGGCAATTTCAGCCGCACTCTTCACAGAGCTTCTCACTATTGGGTGGGAAACCACCTTCAGGCTATTTTCGAGTCAAGTTTTTAGACCAACTTTTTCAGTGCTTGGCATTGTGGGTCGAATGTGGGACCGATCAGATGAACTTAGCGTCGCGGTCAGTAGCTTTTATGCTTCTGAATGCCCAAACAATCTTGGCATATCAATTGATCGTCTTTATGTTTCTGACTAACTAGATGAACTTGGCGCTGTGATTGAGAGTCTTTATTATTTTTGACTGACCAGAAGATCTTGGCATCGTGATTGATGGTCTTTATTATTTCTGACTGACTGGGCGATCTTGACATCATGGTTGATAATCTTTATTGTTTGCGTGACTGACCGACAAACTTGGCATCGTGAATGACAGTTTTTATTGTTTGGCTCACGTCTTATATGTATCAAGGCCTAAGTCACCCTATTAGACTGTAGTCTCGATCGGTCCCCACCTTTCGTCATGTCTTAGGAGAATCTTGTTGCAGTCTTCGCTGGGGTAACCACCGAGACTCGTCAACAGGGTGATTTATTTCGTACCATTTGTAGAGCTTGTCGCTACTGGGTAGGCAATCACCTCCAGGGATTTATCCAACTCAAAATTTATGACCATGAATCTTTGATATGAGCGTTGCAATATACTTATCCGGTCATACCACTATAGGTTGTAGCCGGTGCTATTCCACTGATTTAATTTCCTAAGGTGTCAATTTGACCTGAGGAGAACGTTAGGGAAATCTATGTTAAAGGATGAGACAAATCTCAGGCATACCTTCTATTCACTAGGCAGGGATTCAACCGCCCGGGATCATTTCGGCGATGTGTTGACTTTCTAATGGCATGATGATATATTTTATAAATTATTTTAACCGTTGGGGATCGACCGTTCGTTTTGCAGTATTCACTTCATAGTTAAAGCCATCATGAAAAACTCCAAAAATGACGCTACAAGTGTCAGATCTGCTGAGTAAGATATATTCTTACCACATTTTTTTTGTTATGAGTGTCTCTGAGATATATTTCTCCTAGTTGGCATCGCTTCCCTTCTTATTGACGGCATGTTCTACACTCACCGCACCTTTTAGAATATTGAATCCAAATATGTCCTATGAGGCATGTCCAAGGACCAAAGCGATAAGAATCAGAGAGAAGAGAGATAGAGAGATAAAGTGAGGGGAAGATCACACACATACTTGCCCCCTCGATGTGAACTGGGTCATTCTCGGACTCTATGACCCATTTTATAAATAAAAAGAGATATTACAGGGATGAGGAGGAGGGAGGACTCCCTCTACAGTATGAGTCAAAATTTAAAAGCCAAAAAGCCCCTTTACAATTATTGGACCACATATTTATAGAATATGTAGGGCTAATAAAATAAAATTACATCTTTGACCCACTTTTATGAGGGGATTATAAGATATTACAGTCTTTTCATATTTCCATGATCACTTTTAGCATCTTTTGATGTCTTTGGGTTCTCCACCTGGCCGATTCCTCCTTTGGTCTGCCGAGATATCGTTGGTTGGGCATTCCGGTGGATGTCGGGCGACCTTTATGTTTAGAAGTTGTCCGGGTTTGAACATTGCACATGGTTGGGTCTAGATGACTGATCGATCAGTTCTAGGCGGTCGGCCTAAGATGGCCGACTGATTACCTGAGAGGCGACAACCGACCAAAATTGGCTAGCCGACATTTTGCTGACTGCTTAGTTGATAAGTCACATGTCTTCACATTTTATGTCATACATGCTTATCCGCTTTCGGGCGGCCAGGAGGGACCTTGGCAAGTCAACCTCAGGACGCCTGACCTGATCGGCCATGAGTTCTCCATTTGAACGCTTAGCCTTTGATCTTATTCGTCAGACTGTTTTGAGATCCATGCATGCCATTTTTTAGTTTGCAATGTCATTAATAAATTCGTCACAAGAACTGTCCATCCATCACTAATTTCTCATTATTATTTTAACAAAATTGATAAAATGTAAGAATTTTGTTAAAAATTTGTCTCAAATTTATACATCCATCATAAAACAATAAAACATAGCATAAGCACAAAATAATCATGAAATTTTATTTGAATGCACACAATTTTAATGGGCAACCATCTTAATCTTCACCATCACCTTACTCATGTACTTAAAAAAAGGAAATATACATGCATAGCACCCAAGTCTCATGCATCTATTTATCTCACACCTAAATTTTAATTTTTAAAAGCTAAGCACATTTTCCTATGTATGCAAAGATATATAAAAAGGTGAATTGCAGTATTTCACAGGTATATTGCTTTAAATGTAAAAAATAAAAAAAAAAATTGTAATATTTTTTTTATATCATTTAAGAAAATTGGTGATACAAATATAAAAAATACTATTTAATATAAGAATTATGTGTAATGTGTAAATGACCCTCCTACTACTACTACTAAAACAATAGATGCAATGCAAGTAGCGGAGTACCCCTATTTTTTGTTAATTTAAAGGTTATTAGGAGGGGGTGTGCATTCAAACCCGTAAAATTGAATCGAAACGATCAAGTTTGATTGGTTTGGTTCAGTTTAAAAATTTGATTTTAGTTTTCAACTTTTAAAACTTTAATATTTGATTTTCGATTTTCAGTTCAGATTACATTTCATTTGATCGAACAAACTAAAAAATATGTATCTTATTCAATAAATTTTATTATATTTTAATTTCATTTCAAATAATCTATAAAAATATTTTCAATATTTAATGTTTCATTGAAATAAATAGAGCATTTATTAAATTAATATTGTGTGGATAAGCGATGTAATGATTTTTCTTAGCCAAAAATTAAAAAAAAACAATTAAATTTTAATTTTTTATAATTGAATCGATTAAAGTGAATCAATTTTTGGTTAGGTGGATTCAATTTTATTAAAATTTAGATTTTTTTTTATTTTTTGAATTATGAATTTCGATTGCAATCTCTCATGTATCTTATCCGTTTGGGGCAGCTTATTTGGTGCGGTGACATTTTAAAAACACACCTGATCTGTTTGGATAAACTGTGTTTCAGCAGCTTATGCGTTTTCAAAAGGCTGAAAACAGTGTTTTCACACCGCACGTATCTAAGTGCGGTCGCAGCTTTCTGGTTGCAGTCTGGCTTTTCCAAAAAAAAAAATAAAAATTTGTAATCGTTATCGCACCTCACTTATCAACAAATTATTTTTAAGGAGCTTGCAGATTATTCAATAACCATGCTTAACCGCTGCCTGTTAGAACTAAGAGACAATCATATGCGGTTCGATTTCCATCCAATGGTGGAGAATCACAAGAACATAATTTTATCCCCATCACTCCGTATAATTTCAATCCAACGGTTGAGGCGAAGAGACTTTTGAAGCCGAGGCCTATATCTTTTTTATTAGGGTTTGTTCCCCGTTTCTGCCACCACTTCAATCGCCTGTTTCGTTCGCTTTTCTCTTCTTCGAAATCCAGCAATGGTGAATATTGATTCCATTCTCCTCCCTCGCTCTTATTTTTCCATCCTCTTCCTTATTTCTGTGCTTCATTTTTGATTTTTTCTTGTTAATTAATCAGGCATCGGAGAAAAAGCTTTCCAATCCCATGCGAGAGATCAAAGTGCAGAAGCTGGTGCTGAACATCTCAGTGGGGGAGAGCGGTGATCGTCTCACGAGAGCTGCGAAGGTATAGATTGACAATTCCTTACTCCGAATAATGTTTTTTTTAATGCTTTCCTGGTTGGTTTCTGCATCTTTCTATAAAATTTCTTCAAGGACAGTGGGGGAGAGCGGTGATCGTCTCACGAGAGCTGCGAAGGTATAGATTGACAATTCCTTACTCCGAATAATGTTTTTTTTAATGCTTTCCTGGTTGGTTTCTGCATCTTTCTATAAAATTTCTTCAAGGAAGTTTCCTGGTTTCTGCATCTTCCTATAAAATTTTATAGGTTTGTGTTTAATATATCAGAGGAAAAACCATGCAGTTTTTTCACCTAGGAGTAATCTCCTCAGATGGCGATGGTTTTAGTGATTTTTGTTACAATTGTGAAATTGAAAGACAAGTTTAGGGGTTGTTCAGCTACAAGTCGGATTTAGCAGATACTCTAAAATTGGATTTAAGAAATCATGTTATGGTTAAATCCTGAAAGTTCTTTGGTTTGATAGCTGTTGAATTCAGTTTAATCCAGTTAACTGTTTCTCCACTTATTTCAAAATTTAATGATTTATGTGATTCTGAGATCTTATTATATCTACTTTGCGGATATCAATCTCAATTAAATCATTTCATAATTAACAGTAGGTAAAACCCTAGGTTATCATTATTTGTAATTTGCTAAGCTTGTTAAAAGCAATAACTTATTTATTGAAATTTATGCTACAAATAATACCTATTTGCTTGTTTTTAATATTTTTAATTGATTAATATTAATTATTCTGGCTGGTTTAAAATTTAAAATAATAATTTCATATCTAATTTACTTGATTGAATATCCATAATTTTCATTATTAGTTTTTCATTTAAACCTAATTACAATTATGTATAAACATTTAGAATCTTGACCAATTCAAGCTTCTATAAAACCCACAATATATCACTCAATACAAGCAATATTTAAATTTATTACGCGAAGAAAGGCATTTTCATTGACTTAAATATTGCAATAATTTTATTGCAAATTTGAAATAAAAGCTCTAGATGTCTTTACATAAATAGCAAGAATACAATGTAGATCCTTGGGATCAAAGTTCTAAAACTATTACATCTAAATTGCAAAAATCATATTTAAATTCATGAAATTAGGCTTTAGTCATCTTGCTTTGGAGGGCTTATTAATGCATGGAAAAATTATGGGTAGAAATTCCTAAATTTATCTCACTTCTCCTACATCATTTTTGTAATATGTACACATTAAATATTATACCAAAAAAGATGATTTGGTAATATTTGTAAGGATTGAATTAAATTTTGAGTTAACGAACTTGACCTTGCACGAACTGTTAGTGGCAAGTCCTTCTCAATGATTTTATAGGCATTTAAGTGCCTAAAATATCAATAGATTGCTCACTCACAAGATTGTAATTAATTATAATTTGGGAAATTTACATACGCAGCGCACAATTCTTTTGTATTTACATATCTCACACCTTAATTTTTCATGTTTACATATAAACATGAAAGTTTAGGTGTGAGATATGTAAATAAATAAGAATTGTGTGCTATGTATGAAAATGTCCCTTATAATTTTTTCTTCAAATTTGCACTAAAATGATTTATGGAAGGTTGGGACCCATTGAGACCGCTCAAATGATGCTTAGGGAAGGCGGTAGGTTGGTTCACTTGAATTTGAGTGTAAAGTAACATTTTAGATTGCGAGTTTTCAAGTTACAGCATGGTGATTCTAGTGATGTTGGTTTGCTAGTTGCCCAACAAATGCATGAGCAGCATGTTGGACTAGAGATTCGATATTGTTACTCGCGAATTGATGGGTTGTGCAACTCATGAAAAGTTTGTTCAGTGAGCCATGTAGCTTACTTGTAGTCAAGTTGATGATAACAAGATGACTAGTGGATCGAAGGTTGCTAATTCGAGAACTTGGATGCAGCTTAGGGGAGGTTGAGAAGAACACTTTGAATGAATAAGGGTATATATGCAGTATGTTGCACTTAGTGTGGGGTTGATAAATGTTTAAGTGCCAAAAACGTCTACTTTTGAGCCGTCTTTTGACATTGTTGATTGGTTCTTGACTAGGGAAGATGGTTGACGTACATGACGAAATTTGCTGAATGCCAACCTTAGAGTAGTAATATGGTGGAATGCCTTATAGCCCATGGTTCGATGGGAAAAACAGATTTTCTTGTTCAATTGGAATCAAACGAGGACTTGCCTAATTGAGATTTATTGAGCATAGTGCACAACAAAAATTGAATAGGAAAAATAGTTTTTAGCAATATCCACCCCAATCCTTCCGATTTTTTTAAGCAAGCATGCTATAGCCTAAATTTTTTGTATTTTTATTTGCACCCATTCTCAATTGGATATATTGTAATAAATGTTAGTTTTAGATTATCGATTTGATTATATGCTGGCAACATTTTTTTTTTTGTTTTTTGTGTGGTAAGGATTTAAGCCTTTTGTCACCACCATGGGATCAAATCAGTTAAGTAGTTGGTGGTATGTATTATTTTTTTATTTGGATAAGACAATCTTACAAATAGATAATTGATCTTTATTTGATTTTTATGACCTTTTCTACTTGCATAGTGCTAAATTTAGATTTTTTCACTTTTTTTTTTATTTGATGCATTGTTTGCTATTTCTATTGTCTTGCATGTTACATACTTTCTTGACCAAGTTGTCAAATTTTCAGGTGCTCGAACAATTAAGTGGACAAATTCCTGTGTTCTCTAAAGGCAAGTTATAGATACCGTCATCTTCCTCTTTCAAGTAATTTTATGCTGTGCATTAATTTTTTTTTTCTTTTTTGCTTCCTTTAGCAAGGTACACTGTTCGATCATTTGGAATCCGTCGCAATGAAAAAATTGCTTGCTATGTCACTGTTAGAGGTGAAAAGGCGATGCAACTCCTGGAGAGCGGTTTGAAGGTTAAGGAGTATGAGCTTTTGAGGAGGAACTTCAGTGATACTGGATGCTTTGGATTTGGCATTCAGGAGCACATTGATCTTGGAATTAAGTATGTTATTATATTTTTGGTCATTCCTAATCATTTCTCAATGTTTATGTTGCTCCAGTTTGTATGTCAATATCATCCATTTTACAATTGGAAGTTACTTTGTTTTCGGCGTTAATTGATAGATAGTGTTTAGCTTTACTGGATTAGTTTTCTTTTTTATTCAACTAATTCATTGCTGGATTTTACGTGTGATTTCTCATGTCATATAAGATGAGACTTATGAATTTATTTTATTTGCGGCACAGATAGTTTTCTCTTATTTATAAACCATCTTTCCTTCATTTTTTCCTCATTTTGTTTGAAAATAAATCACATAAAATTTTTTATTTTGCTCTGTGGAGAATTTTTGCTTGCTCGCCACAGTTTTTTAATATAAATTTGTTCTACCTATGAATGGTTGTATAATCTTGCATGCTGGTTTTAATCTGAAAGTCTTTATGTGTGGGCGTTCCTTATCTGTTATTCGCCATTTCAAGTTGGCTGCATGTGACCTATATGGCTAAGTAGCAGATATCCATAATTATGTTATTTAGTTTTCATTTTTCTTTGAAGGGATGATCTATGCTTACACAGAAATAGACTGTCGTTGGACTATTACACAATTCTATTTGATGTTTTTTTTTTAGTGAGTTATACTAGTAACAAATAAATTTTTTTAATTTACCTAGTAGGATATGGTCAGGCCTAATAGTTTTGCTTGCATCATGGTCTTGTATTGTATATGAAATCATTACTTAACAGCGAACAGCATTTTTTTACCCCTTCGCAGAAGTAATTTTTGGTTCAATGATTCTATAATTTTATGTTGTTGGTTATACTAGAGGTTATGAGTATTGCTTCTTGTTTTAGTTTTTATTTATTTATTTAGCAGGTTATCAACAGTTTTCACATTTTGATTTTGGATATTGGATCTTTATTTTTTAATTTTTATATGTGAATGTTGTATTGATTAAATATTTTAGACGAAAATTTATTTAGGAAATTTGAACTTGCACGATAAAATTAGTGTTGAGAACTTGGAAAGAATGTATTAAGAAATGGATTCATAATAACAATACATATATTCAATAGATTGATTAAAAAATGAAGTGGAGTTGGTTTTGAAATGCATGTGTATTGGTAAATGTTTTGAAAGGCGAAATCGGGAATTGAGACATTTTTTTTATTGCGAGGTGATGCGATTCGTAAGCCTCAAAATTAAAAATATTAAAAAATGATAAAATTAAACATAATTCATAAATATGACATTTGACATACCACAAATCTTGATCATTAAACATAGAATTTAAATATGCCAATAGACTTCACTAGTTCACTTAATAACACATGCATATAGTATTCCCAAATCCCAAAGTATTCCCAAATCCCAAATATAAACAAATCCCAAATATAAAGCAAAACTGTAAATGTTTGAAATAAGATTTGAACTTTAAACTTAGAAGTTAAATATGCCATAAGAATCAAAATCCATGGAGGCATCATAATCATTTTCATCATCTTTAGAAGAATTATCATATGTAATAACTCGATCATCCTCGAATTATGTGTTATCATTATCTTCAAATTCCTCTTCAATTACCACATCTTTTCTTTTACTTTCTACTTCAATTAACATTGAATTCAATATAATTAGTAACACAAATAAATCAATTATAATTTAATTAGAAAATTATGTTTAGATCTTTTTGAAGCTCCAACCCCACTTTGCTTCATTTCTTTTAAATAACTGTCAAGTAGAACTTGCTCCAAATTCAATATTTCCTTGACCACTTTCAATGTTAACATTAATATCTTCATTATCATCATCATTAGAAGTCATTTCTTCATCTTCAACTTCAAATTCTTTAGCATTCTTACTCATTTTTCATTCATTATCAGACATAATACCATCAGCAGTCAAAATCTCTATTTTATCACCACTATTTCTATACTGTTGTAGCTTCAAGTGTTTATCTTTCAATTTTTTATTGATCATAACATAAACTTATTCATTTAACATGTAGCCAATCAATTTATTTTCTTTGTATTCATTGGGTTTCATATGCTTTAATTACACTCACATGCAGAAGCTGAACAAGTGAGACTAAAAATTTTACAAAAAATGCTTTGAGTTTAGGCATATCATCTCCAAATTGTGGCCAACATTCCAACATAAAATTAAATCATTAAATAAAATTATCTATATATATTAAGATATAATTTTATATGTAAATGATTAACTCATAAATTTAAAATTATAGACAAATAATTTTTTATCTGGTGAGCGCTTCTTGTAGCATGCTTGAGTTACACTAAATCCGACAATTCCATTCTTCAAATGAAAATATTCAACTTGATCATTGACTTTAAGATAGTCAGACTCGAGGACAATTCTAGCTATGCATGCATATAAACCGGTCTTATCCCCTTTATCCACATGGAAGTGTTTGTCATAATGAAATTGAGGATTCAAATAGTATGCATCTTGTAAATATTGGAGTTGATGAGCCCATTTTTCATCAATGATTTCCCATATTTCTTTATAAGTTTCTTCTTATCCTCCTAAATCTTTTCCTTTTTTCCTCCTTTGCTTTTTTTCATGGTTTTATAAATAAATTCCATAGCAAGAGCCCTCTTATCATCAACAATTTGTAATACTTTCACTAAAGGCGTTGTAGTATTCAGAGGCTAACTACTATGACAAAAATGAATCATCTCTCATAATAATTATTTTCACTTGCTTAACGTTGGCTTTTTTTACACAAAAACTTTTATTCCATTTTTCAGAAGCAAACATAGCCTCCAAAGATTGTCACAACTTTTTAAATCTTTGCAAAGCCAAATAAGCTGTGACAAATCTAATAAATTTTGGTCGGATAAGTTCTTTATATGTGAATTTCTTCATCAAACTTTATACACAAGAATGGTCGTAAATAAACTACACTTATTTTCTTTGCTTTAAGTAAACTAGGTTTGTGTTGCAACAATTGTCTCACTTTTTCAAGCATTAAATCAAGACAATGAGCAACATAGGGTGTCTAGTAAGGATGCTTTCTTTGCTCCATTACTCCAGAAGCTTTATAGGCACTTGCAATATATGTAACAACTATACTCTCCCCAACTTTTTGAACAACCTCATCAAGCATCTTAAATAATAAATGTGTATCTTTTACAAGGGCCAATGCATCTACATATTTCAAAAATACTGTCTCATAAGGGTTGTTAATAATAAAATTTATAATACTTCTTTGTTTGATACCAGACGGACCATATGAAATTATAGTAATACCTTTCTCAACCCATATTTATTAACTTTATCTACCAGTCTTGTCGTAGGTCTAACGTCTTCCAACATCAAGTTCGCACCTCATACATGTTAGGTAGATGCAGCCCTCTACCATATTTCCAACAGAGCGAAACATACTGTTCCTTGAAGGACTCCTAATTACATTAAATGTAATTCCATTTTCATGACAATATTTTGCAATATCTTAGCATGCTCTAGCTCTACTTCTATGTTCTTTTGTAGAATTTGCAGGAAATTTTTGAGAGTTGATATTCTTATCTTCATCAACATTTATAACAAATCTATCCATTAGTCCTCAAGTTTTTTTTATGAGAACAAGACAATGACTTATACTAGAACTAACATGTTATAAGCCAAAGTATGAATTATTCCCAATGCTCTCTGCCATATATCTTTTTGTCGTGTACTTTAGGAACTATGGAGCAAAATATATTTATGTCCTACACCTTTTCTATCTTTTCTGTCAATGTTGTTATTCTTAGGCATGGTCTACCTATTTGTTTCTTTCAACTCTCCTTTTTTTTTCCTTATTACAATTGTTTTTTTTCCAACAATAAATACAACATTGGAGTCCTATAATGGAAACTATCATTGGAGTTTAATCATCTTCAGAAATCCTAAATTAAAACAGATTTTAATGATGTTGAGCATTGATAATGAATTGTTTAATCAAAATGCATTTATTTTATTGATTTCTTAACTATCATAAATGAGCTCTAATCGAGTCAATTCACGAGTAGTTTGTTTGAATTTATTGGTTCATTTGTAGCTTGGTTGTCTATATGTGATATGTTCTTGACAAAACAACCAGATACATATATCTTAATTCATTTAATTAAAGTTCTGTAAAGTATTCTCAAGTATTTTATTTCATAACTACTTCTTTATGTTATTCTTTATTTTAATTCACTGAATATTAATTTAGCAAATATATTCTCTTTTTTTTTTATATAAGAGATTTATGTTATTTACGCATATCATGTCTAAAAGCTTAACATCAAAGATATTAGTTTTCATATTTTTCTTCAAATTAACAATTTTGTTGGGAGGAAATTATCAATTCTTATAATGTTTGGCTAGGTATGATCCTTCAACTGGCATATATGGAATGGACTTTTATGTCGTGCTGGAGCGACCTGGTTACCGAGTGAGCCGTCGACGCCGCTGTAAGTCACGACTCGGCGTTCAGCACCGAGTTACTAAAGAAGATGCCATGAAATGGTTTCAGGTCAAGTACGAGGGTGTCATTCTCAACAAGTCTCAAGCCATCACCAATGCTTGATAAGCTTATTTGTTGTCATGGTTAAAGTTATTTTTCTGAGAAGATATTATTCTCTTTGCCTGCCAAGTTTCCCTCTGCTTATTTCATAAAACTGGAGCGAAGTTAGTTAAATGGATGGTTTTGTTTTTGGATTTTATTCGTCAGCTTTTTTTCATCTCGTCTTAAGCTGTCTTTTTTTTTTTTTCTTCTTTATTGTTTTCAACTTGTTGGGTGATTTTAACTATATTATTTAAAAATAATTTACAAATAAAATATACATTTAAAGTTTCAAAGTTAAAATTTTTAAAAATTAAAAATTATTATTATAATTTATAGGACTTAATTTTTTTAAATATGATAAATTTTTAGAGTATTGATAATTTTTTAATATAATTATTTTAAATTATTTTATATTTTGAATAATAAAGATTCAAACATGATCAAATACATGACTGTTTGTGTTTTGTTTGTTTATAACCCTAACCAAAAAAAAAGTTTGTGTTCATTTCGTTTGTTTATCGAACTAATCAAAATGAATTCTCTGACGAGTAGAACAAAAATTGTTTGCAAAAAACGAGCTTTTTTGATAGCACTAAATTTCACATATACATATTTAATACAAATTCTACTTTCTAGATTTATACCGCTCGTGTGCCCCAACCTTACCCTAATGTTTCATATCACATAAAAAAAACAATCACTTTTTTTGAGGTACAGATGTAGAAATTAAAACTTCCAAGTATTAGACATGTAAATACTAAATACATAGAGATTCGAGTGGCTTATATGTAAATCTTCCAATATGATTGATACCTTCGCTATTACTGAACAGGATTGCACATCCCCGGATTGTTCCGACACCACAGGGGCTGAATGGGCTCACCTTTTAAAATTCGAGTGGTTAAAATTATTGCACATCCGCGGCGATCTATTTCGTCTGATTTAGGAAGTCTTTAAAATTTAAATTCCTTCAAAAATAATTTAAATATTCTAAGTTTTTCATAGATGTTATAAATAGTAAATGTCTAATATATATATATATATATACCCTATTCGCCCAAGGCTGCAAAAGAAGCTGTGAATAGTCCATATCAAAAGTACCAACAGCAAACATTCAAACTACAGCAAAGTGACTCAAAAACAACAACATATAAAATTGCAAAAAGTTTGGGATCACAAAATTACCAAAATCCAACAAAAACTAAAACTCAAAACATAACCCATCAGTAAACTTCATGCAAAGAAACCGGCCAGCCCAGCCTTCTCTACATGAAGAGATTGGGCCTGCAAGCCTTAAAGGTAGTCTTGAGTTTCCTGGATGGCGGCCTCACCTTCTTGAACACAAGGGGGAACTTAATCTTCGAGTCATGGAACTGCTTCGTGCTCTCGCGCTTGCAGAGCTTCGAGGGAATAGTCGCAGTCTTTATAATCTGAATGCACGGGAAACGAACCCGATGGCGGGACGCCATCTCGTTGTACATTTGCTCGACGGCGCCGTTCAACGTCGTGTCCCGGTACTCCTTGTACATATTGTGGTAGCCGGGTCTGCTCTGGTAGCGGAGCCAAATGCCGTAGTTCTTGATTTTGGTTGGATATTTTTCAAATATCTAAAAATTAAAATTTGGAGTGTTAACAAAATCAATATTTTAAAGGAAAATTTACAAGCATACCACAAAATTCTTATGTGTTAACATTTCTAATAGTTAGAATTTGATATTTATACGTGTGACACATTGGTGTTATAAACCTATGCATGAAAATGTGTATTTCACTTTAAAAAAAATAATGATGGTGGTGGTATTTTTGATGTGATGCTAAATATTTGAGCGGTGTGCATGTAATATGAATGTTTCCGTGTTCAATATGTAATACCACCCTCCTCATGTTATCCAAGAAAAATCAGTATATTAACATTTTACAATAAGTTTATTATCCTGTCAGGATAAACTGAAAAGTAGTTGCTACCCGAGCACTGACCAAAATTGAAATTATAGCTGTGGACAGAGATGCACAGTATGCATAAAAAAACCGGGCTGTTTCGGTTCTTTTTGCATATGTACCACTCAATTCCTATGTATTTACATGTCTAGCACCTAAACTTCAATTTTAAAATACGTATCTTACCTAAGCATGAAAATGTGCAGTTCACTTCATTAAAAAAATAGTTCGGAATCTCCCGCTTAAATAGCTAGTTCAGTTTCCTTGCCTTGGTTGATGATAGGGGACTTCAAGCGCATGAAATCTATTGATGGTTAAATATGTGGTGGGAACTCCCCTTTTTCATGGAAATTGATGTGGTTCAATAATTGTATTTTCAAGCTGGCCTTTTGGACTTTCCCAATTTGGGGATTTCTTTCTCTTGGACCAAATATTTTGGCTTCATGGAGCTTATGATACACAATTACATGAAGAATTTATGTTAGTGGTGATCCTACGTAATTTGTGTATCAAAGTAAAAGCTTTTAGATCCAATCAACTTTTTCAGAAGTAAAAAAGGAGTTTTTGTTGCCCCAAGGTGAGCAAAACATGCGCCTTGCTCAGTCTTCCCTTGCTCTGTCTTCTAACATGTATATCAAAGGCCCTCTATTTATCCTTAACAACCTGGATGACTTTGTTTCCAAATTCTTGTGATTATCTATCCTAAGGATTTCAATATTAACTATAAAAACATAACTTTCTTACAAAGATTGGCGGCTAAAAGACATTTAACGACAAGAAAATAACTCCACAAGGGATTGGATAAGTCGTTTAACAACAAGAGAATAACTCCACAAAGGATTGGACACAAAAACTAATTCCATCATGTTCATTAAATAAATTAAGGCATCCACTATTGATGTATCATTCTTCATTATTATCAACTGTAAGTTCAAGGTACATCGACTCAAAAAATAACATTAGACAAAGATATCTCTTACCACCCTTCCTATTTAGATTTACTCTAGACATTTTTTCCTACTTGCTGATAAATATTGATGTAGAAATATTCAATGAAAAGATATCTGAAAAGATATTTACATCAATCCTCTTAAGATTTACTTATTTGTGGCAAATCCAAACCTAAAGTCATTGGAGACCCTTCATAAATTCTTAGGGAAATTTTTACATTATTCTTAAGCTTGCATCCATTCTTAAGCTTGCATCCAAAGCATCCAAACCTAAACTCATTAGAGACCCTTCATAAATTCTTAACCATAACACCATTTACATGAGTGAGATCCTTGACATCAAATGCACTTCTCTTCCTTTTAAACTATTAGGCCTAGCTCTTTTCCCTTCCAAATCCCTTATAAAGGATTGCAATCATCTGCTTAGTAGGCAAGGTCATTGACTCACTTAACTGAAAGCACAAATTATACAATTTGAGGGAATGCTGGAACTTACCAAATCTATTAGTGAATTCATTTAGCCAACCAATATATATCTTCTAGCAATTTTCATTATCTTCTTTAACCATTGGATGGAGAAAAATAATAATAGTCATAACTTAAATAACGAACTTATTGTTAAAAGATCATTACAAAGTGTACATCGATCACAACAATGTAATGCAACCCAAATTGCATACCTAAGAAAAAAGCCAACGATGTTGAAATGGATAAAACATTAGCTGATTTTTGTTTGTTCCTTTGGACGATCTAATAACAGCTCCTCTTTCATTGCAGCTTTTCGTTAGTTTCTTTTTTTTGACGTTGTTCATCTTCAAATCTTTTTATGGTTCCTATGCCTCTATAGTTCACATTGCATGCATGATTGCCTTTCAAGATTGTTCCATCGGGTGTTGTTATTGGTTTTGTGATCTTTATCTGCTCTTATGGCAGCTCGAAGTTGTTAAATGATGGATATTTTGTTCTTATATGATAGGAATTATTATTTCGGGCAAAAATGAATTACTATTACTAAGTTATTAAACTACTTAGGTTCAACTCATTTGTAAGGGAACAAAAATGAACAATTATACATAGTCTTTTAAATCACTATTTTTGTTCCCCTTTTGGGCTATTGCTTGATCTCCTAGGTATCATGTGGCCATAGCATATGTATTTCTTGTAAATTCAATTTATTAAGCTTTGCTCTCAACCTCGTTATTTCCAAAAAACGATTGTTGTAGTTGTTCCTATAAATATTATAGGCTGAAATAAAATTTATTAAAAAAAACTACTGAGGTTAACTCGGTTGTAAGAGACAAAAATGAACATTTATACAGAGCATAGCAGGTTCGCAATAGTAGTGATATATAGAAGCATGAGGAAGTAAGCATCAAATAGAATTTTTAAAACAATGCATGAAACAAGAATTATTAAAAAAAAGGACATTTACATACATACCACCTAATTTCTATGTATTTCCAAATCTAACCCTAAATTTGTTTTGTTTTAAACCACCCAAATCTTTTATAACACATTAAAAATATCTTCATTTTAACTTTTAGAAAGCCAAATGCACCTTATGCATAGATAAGGGGGTGTGTATGTGAAAACTGAAGTTTAGATGCTAGATATGTAAATACATAAGAATTGAGTGACATGTATGTAAATCTTCCTAGAAAAATGTGACAAAATTTTGAGCGTGGGATGGAAATAATCTTATGAGTCTGTATTCTCTCAAAGTAGAACAACTGATATAATGCTTTTAGTTCAGCCAACAGCTAAAACAAATTAAGAAATCCAATCATCATGCAATAAGTGATCCCCAACCCAGGCATATTACCAAAAGGATGAATAAAATCACAAAACTATATTATTAAAAAAAACAAACAAACAAAAAATCAGCATAGGGAAAGCAATTGATACAGTTTTTAAGGTAACATTAAAAGTAAGCATACTCCATCTTCTAATTTAAAGCATTAGTGAACTTTTTATTGAATCATAGCATCACAATAACATAAAGCTTACCAAAAGACAACAAGAAGTAAAATAAGTTCGTCAATAGTAAAACTTATGTTGAATCATAGCATCACAATAACATAAAGCTTACCATACAACAACAAGAAGTAAAATAAGTTCGTCAATAGTACAAATAAACTTACTATTTCAATGTGACAATTAAACGAACCTCGTTAATAGCCAGAACTTGGCCGTTGCTTTTCTTCACTTTCTTCAATTTTCTCAAGAAATACCTGTTTCAAGGAAAAATGAGAGCCAAATCAACATAAAAATTATTAAATGTCGACAAAACTTTAGCACTAGACAAAAAGGTGGGTCTGCCTACCAGAACTTGGATTTAGCCCTAACTTCATTAGTAGCCCATAGCTTCATGCGATAAATCTTTGGATGTTCATCGCTTGGCGTCGGAAGGGCACGGCCAACCACTTGGTACTGATGAAACTGAAATCAAAAGCAAAATGGATAGATTTCAATGTTAAAATATAATATACGCTTAAATAATATTATTCATAAACAGAAAGATGAGATGTTTTTTGGGCAAGAAGAACACTTTAAAAAAATTCTAGAGGGAGAGAAGCTGGACTTGTTATGGAAAAAAAAGGGTGACTGTTACTCATTTTCTCTGGCTTACCCTAAAACCGCCCATAGATCCTCCGAGATGTTGACGCCAATCAACCTCCCCGCAGCTCTTTACTAAAACAGAACACATTGATAAAATAAAAAAAAGGAACAATAACTAAATATATTATTTGAAGCCTACTACAACATTCAAGAGGAAAAAAGAAAATAAATGTGTTTGCCAATATAACATGAAATGAACAATTAAATATAATTAAATGTAGCACAATCAATTTTGATAAATCAAAATTATATAAAACCAAAAATCATGAAATACCAATGAATCAACTAGTCATAGAATTAGCTTTTAATTTTTACATTCAAAACAACTTACCTATGAAATAGTGCAATTCAACTTTCCACATATCTTTGCATACATAGCAAAATGTGCTTAGCTTGTAAAAAGCAAAGTTTGTGCGATAAGTAAATGCAACCTTCCAGCTGTCTTACTTCAAAGAAGAAAGGGGTTTATGGCACCTAAAGTTATTTTGATGTTCATTTAATATGCCCTGTTTTCTGATCGCAAAACTACTTAAATCATACCTTATTCAAAATTTTACCGATTACAGTAAAGAAGTGTTAGTTAACGTCTTAACCTGGTCCCCTGAATTAAGATTGAAATCATGTAAGAAACTGAGTAGCTCGGGCTAAACATGATGTTCTCTTTTTTTATTAATTTTAGGAATTGAAATGTGGTTGTATTGTTGGGAGGCTCAAATAAGCTCCACCATAATGGATTTATATGGTACAAAAGTAGGAAGGAATTTGTCGAATGTTAACCGATGCTGATAAAATTATCTAAAAATATTATTGTTTTCCTCGTCATCAGTGAACATAAAGAGAGTATAAAAATAATTTTTTTTTTTCCTAAATGATAATTATTAGAAGCTGGATTGTGAAGCAGTCAGTAATGGATTAATTTTAAAGATGAATACTTAAGCATTCAATGATAGAAAAAGATTTTGTGGGGTCAAAGCATATGATTGAATAGGTGTACAGTTTCATGTTTGCTGACTAATATCATCCAATGAATGAACCATATAATAGAACGAATTAGAAAAAGATATAAATTTATAGCATGTTTTCTCAAAAAAAAAAAAACGTACTCATTAAATCTAAAGTGATAGGCATATATATTTAGGCAGTTGGAAAACTTCCAAAAACTCAAACAAGCAACAAGGAAATAATGACGACAAAACTTTCAATTTTTTTCATTAAATAAAATCACTCTTAATTTATGTTATATGTTGGGAAAAACAGACAGTATATTATATTTTATTTACAAACATTTTAACTCTTTTTATATATTTTAGAACAAAAGAAACATAAAAGTAACGCCCAAATCACCCAATTCCTATGTATTTACATATCTAACACATGGAATAGAGAAATTTACATACATGCCGCACAGCTCTTGCGTATTTGCATACCAAACACCCATAACCTTCCGGACATTTACATACATAGCACAGAATTCTCATGTATTTATAAATCTCACAACAAAACTTTCGTATTTACATGCAACATTCAAATCATTGATATCACATCAAATATAGCACTATAAGCACTGTTTAAAAGTGAAATATATGTTTTCATGTATAGGTTTAAAACATCAAAGCGCTCTATGTAAATGTCAAAGTGCATGAAAGAGATGTAAATGCATAAGAACTGTGTAAACTTTCCAAAACTTCAATATTTACATTTATAACACTTATGTTCTAGAAACAAATATGAAAGTATAGGTGTTTCATATGTTAACACAAAAAAATTATGTGGTATGTATGCAAATACCCCAATGAAATAAATGGCTGAATCCTTGGTCTAAATCTCTATAATTACCAAAAAATAACAGCAAAAAGTATGGCAAAAAGTAAGAGTTCAAATGAGCAAATAATAACCTACAACCAAAATCAGAAAGACTATATTCTTTGCTAAAAGAGCACACATAATAAACTAAATGTTCACAAAAAACTTAATTAACATACAGCTCAACTAAACACTAAACCCCTCAGGGAAACACATATTTAAAATATTGACTGAACAAAATTGTTGCATCCCAGCCCTAATAATCAAAATTTAGGCTTTTATAACCTTAAAATCATCCCCGCCGCTGCTACCGGTCTACCTGTTGTAGGTAATCAAGAACCAGCATAAAAAATCTGAGATGAAATTTCAATTTTAAGTAAATAAAATTAAAATCTAGGAAGATTTACATGCATTCCTCTCAATTCCTATGTATTTAAATATCTAAGATCTATAGTTCAATTGTTACATGCATACCAACTTACCTATGCATGAAAAGGTGTATTAACTCTTTAAAAGTTAAAACGGTGACTTTTTTGATATGATATGAAAAAATAAAGTTGGGAAAATGTAAAAAAGAAAAGTCTAGTTGTTTGATATGTTATACATAGGAATTGGGTGGTATGTATGTAAATGCCCTTAAAATCTGATGCATCTGGTTACCACACATATGAACAGAAGTAATCAAATGAATATACATAATTTAATCAAATAAAATAAGCAGTTACTAGTAAAGATCTTCAAGCAACTTAGGAAGTGAAAATGAAAGCCCACTGAGCCGATTTATGGATGCATCAGCCAACTAAGAGGTAGATGTATGTATAAACAATGCTCCTAGTAAAGATCTCCAAGAATAAAAATAAGGCCTAAAATCTGAGATGCAGCTACTAGTAAAGATCTTGAAGATTAAAAAAGAAAATAAAATGGACCTTATTTTTTTACCACTCGGCTCTCTTTTTAGCGAAGGCCCACAAACAACCAACCCTAAGCTCTCGACGAGAGAGAGAGTTTCGCGATTTTGAGAGAAGAATGAGAGCCGGCCGGCTTTCGAGAGGGGAAGGGAAGGCCTAAAACTGCCGAAGACAGGCGCGGCGCGATTTTGAGAGAAAAAAGGACAGCCGAGCTCAACGACCGCAAGAGTGGAAGGGGAGGCCGATCCGAAGTTCCGAACCGCCGAACACGGGGTCACGGGGTTAGGGGTTAGGGGTTAGGGGTTAGGGTTATTACGTTATCGGTTTTGTATATGTAATATTAAACTATATTAATTATATAACTTATATTATATAAATATATAATTTCTATTTTCTTTAATATAGTATATTAATATATTATATATTATAATTTATATCATTTAATTTTTTAAAATATGATAAATTTTTAGAGTATATAATTATTTTTAAAATATCATAATTTTTTATATATAACTATTTTGAGTTATTTTATATTTCGAACAATAACGGTTCAAACACGAGCAATGCATCATTGTTCGTATTTAGTTCGTTTAAAACGAAAAAATATTGTTTGTGTTCGTCTAGTTTGCTTATCGAACGAATCGAGCATGAACTCTTTGGCGAACCGAACACGAACTGTTCGCGAACAACGGGCTTTTTTGACAACCTCTGGATCAGCCTAGGCAGCCTGAGGTTGATTGGCCAATGACCCTCATGGTCGATCGAAGCGGACAAGCATGTATGATGGAAAATGTGAAGACATGTGACTTCTCAACCATGTTTACGGAGCCTGGTCTTCAGGCCAGTCATCAGCAAAATGTCGGTTGGCCAATTATGGTCGGTCGTCATGTCTCAGGTAATCGACTGACCATTTTAGGTCGACCACCTAGAACTGATCGGTAGGTCATCCTGATCCAACCATCAACTATGTTCTAACCCGAACAACTTATAAACACAAAGTCACCCGCCATCCAGATGGAATGGTCATCCAATGACATCTCAGCCAACCAAATGAGAAATTAGTCCAATGGAGAATCTCGAGACATCTAAAGATGCTAAAAATGTAAGTTTTATGTTATTAGACTTATATCTTCAATAAATTGGGGGTACAATACCTGTAAATGGGTTTTTTGGCTTTTAAATTTAGACTCATACTTTTGAGGGAGTCCTCCCTCCTTCTCATCCCTGAAATCTCTATTTATATGTATATATATATAATAGGTCATAGAGCTGTGATATATCTCTGTTCGCCTCGAAGGGGCAAGTTTATGCGTGATCTTCCCCTCACTTTATCTCTCTATCTTTCTCCCATCTTGTTCCTACCGCTTCGATCCTTGGGCATGCCTCACAGGACAGGGTTGGATTCATATCCTAAAAAGTGCAGTGAGTATGGACATATCTTCAACAAGAAGGGAAGTGATAACAACCAGGAGAAATATATCTCAGAGATACTTTTAACAAATAATGTGGTAAGAATCTATCTTGCTCAACATATCTGACATTTTGATCATCATTTTCATCATTTTCCAGGATGGATTTAATTATGGAGTGAATACTGCAAAATGAACGGTCGATTCCTGACGGTTGAAATAATTTATAGAACCTATTGTCATGTCATTAGAAAGTGAGTACATCACTCGAATGATCCCGGATAGTTGCATCCTTGCCCAATGAATAGAAGGTATGGATGGGGTTTGTCTCCTCTTTTAACATAGATTTCCCTTGTTGGCATGAAATTTTAATGTCATGAGTGTAGAGTGTCATATGCATGGCTCAAGATGGTCTACAGTTTGTCCACAGCATCTGGTAGCTCGAGACACTCACCCAAGACCCACCGGTACGTGTTGAGTGTAGAGTCATTCACCTTGTGGGTGTCTCTCTTTCGTCGGTTTCGAGTGACCCCTCCTACGAAGGTATATATGTCATTTGCATTTTCATATGCTTTGATGATTTATTTTGGGTACTTTGCATGCCTCATTAGCTCCTTCATTCGTTGTGAGGTATACAACTTGTGGTCGTACTAGTGAGGAAGCAGGCTTGAAGCAAACAAACAAAATCGTCTGCAACCATCACGGTGGTGAGATTCTTCTGAAACTCATCGCCATCCTTAGGGTTAGTGATGCCTAGGCGTGTTGGTTCGATCGCCTACACGAGAAGCGTGCGCCGGCGTGAGCCAACTCAGTCGCGTGTCTATGTGATGGATCGTTAATTGCATAGAGAGAGTCGTAAGGTAGGAATCCTGCGTGTTGACCAGTCTCATACGAAGCCGAGTGATTCCTTATCCCAATTTCTCATAGCTTTGGCGCTCCAAACTTTCCTCGAAGAAGCTAGTTGAGTTCGATCTTAGAGGACAAAAAAAAACTTTATATCTAGTCCGTCATATAAGATCGTGCGTGTTTGTATACAGGAAAAAACTTTGTAGCTAGTCCTCCCTACGAACAGTAGCAAGTTTCCTCTACGAGAAATCAGACGAGGAAGCCCTCCACATAGCTACACCAAAGCTAGAGGCGGCAATGCCACAGATCCAAGGGTGTTAACCCTCATGGGTTCATTAGGATGAGTTTGATGCACTGTAGAGCACTTGGGTTTCATTGTATGTGCATGGACCATTTCATAACATTATTTTGGTGTTTAGATCATATTGCATGTCATATGCACAACCATTTGAGCAATTTGGTTTGACTAGCCGACCCGGCTTGGTTGACCAATCACTTTTCTTTTTTACATTTTCCTAACTTAATTTTTTCATATCATATCAAAAAAGTCACCGTTTTAACTTTTAAAGAGTTAAATACAACTTTTCATGCCTAGGTAAGTTGGTATGCATGTAAAAATTGAACTATAGATGTTATATATTTAAATACATAGGAATTGAGAGGTATACATGCAAATCTTCCTAGATTTTAATTTTATTTACTTAAAATTGAAATTTCATCTCAGATTTTTAACCTGGTACTACGAGAGACTGACGTTGTGATGTGAACAACGGTAAGGGGATCATGATGGTTTGTGGACTTCCGCTCTGAGGGTGTCAATGGTGAAGATCATGGACGCCATCTAGGACAAAGAATACTCTATGAGTCTGCGTCGACGAGAGTTGAAGGTTTTCTCCGAGACGTCAGGAAGTACTACAATACCACAAGGATCACAACCACAACATAGGTAATGAAGACACTTCTAGAGTCTCATCAAGGAGTTGATCACGGCAGAAAAACCAAAAGAGTTTGTGGCCGAGTGACACTTGGGTAGGAGATAAGGTAAAATCCCGACAATGGAGGCCCCGCTCGAGTCTGTACGAAGGAATATCGTCCATATTCCAAGAGTAGTCGTGGGGATCCTTGAGGAATAGGTACCCCCAAGCACGACTCCTAGAAGGAGCCGCCAAACGTCGCAGATTGCTTGTTCGAAAAGTTTCTTTTTCCTCTTTTACCCAATTTTGTACCCTTCGTATAAAAAGTCTTCGATGAAAAATTATTTCCTCATGTTGCCAAACCTAGCTCGTCTCAAAATCAAATTGTAAACAACAATATTTTTTGTTTCTTCACGTGTAATGCACCTTTATTAATGTATTTAATTTGAGGCTCTCAATAATCAACGAGAATTTAACACACATTCAGATAAAAGAAGACAATAAGTAGGAGGAGACACATCGACTTTTTACGTGAAAAACACTTGAAATGAGGAGAATAACGAGACCTGACCCAGTTGTAAAAATCCACTATAAGTTAATGATTACAGAGACCTATTTGTCTCACAGGCGGGAAATGGTCGCAAATTCTTTCAAAATATAATGACGACGTGCGGATAAACTTGTTACAAGGAACTGGGGGCGTCCAATAGTGAATTGGCGACGGTCGGCAAGTGATGGTCAACGAAGGTAGGTGATGATCAACGATGACATGAGTGATGTTGGACTTTAGCTTATTCTCAAAGCTTCAAACTCTTCCTCAAGTCTTAAGCTCTTCTTTCCCCTCTCATGATACAATTAACACAGAAATATGAATCACTTTGATCAGACAGTTCAGAAAGATTCCTTGGATCAGACTTTGGAATTAGGCGTCTTAGGCTCGTTGAATTCATTTTGTCGAGACTCTCGATTCAATTATAAGCTCAACAGATTCGACATTCAGTTTGTCTCTCTAATATGCTCAGAAACCTTTCAAAAGTGGTTTAATGGTTTGATATGAGCTAGATTTAACTTGGATTAGATCAATTTTGGTATCATCGGGTCATTCTCATAGAGTCAATCAGTTTGACTATAAGTTTATTGAAATCGGGGCTATGGATGACTTTTAATCAAAGTTTGAATATTTTTTGTTTAAAAGATTGTCTTCAGATTTGTATCATGCCTTGATATTCCTACTGAATGTTGGAACTATGTTGATGATATATAAAAGTGTATAAATTTAAGTCACCTATATTCATGATCATAACCACTTGATACACTTTTTGCATAAATACCACACAATTCTTATTCGTTTACATATTTAAAATCTAAACTTTAATTTTAACATATTTACGAACTTATATGAAAGGGTATGTTTCACTTTTTAAAAGTGAAAATGGTGGTGTTTTTTTATGTGAAACGAATATTTAGATGATAATAAATGTAAAAGGTAAAGTTTAGGTAATACATATGCAAATACGTAGGAATTGGGTGGTATGTATGTAAATGCCCCAAAATTTTAAATTTATAGGGCTAATTATATGATATTTCTATAGGGATAGTATTTCACAGACAGTCCATTTCTTATGTACTTACTTATAATAATATTTAGGTTTGGAGACATATATAATAATTTCTTATGTACTTACACATAATAATATTCCCTACAGTCCATTTCTTCAGCTATTTATTAATATTAGGGATGTCAAACTGACTTACATAATAAAGAGGATTTACCTACATAGCACACAATACTTATGTACTTACATTGTTCGGTTCATATCGAGCTGTTCGGTTCATATTCGACTCATTCGTTAACAAACGTTCGGTTCGTTTACATTGATGTATAATTTCAATCATCGGCGGTTTCGCTTGCTCTCAGAGCTCTTCGGACTGCAGCAATGGTGAAGATTGATTCCATTCTCCTCCGTTGCTCTTATTTTTCCATCCTCTGCCTTCTTTCTGCGATTCATTTTTGATTTGTTCGTGTTAGTTAATCAGGCATTGGAGAACAAGGTTTCCAACCCTATGCGAGAGATCAAAGTGCGGAAGCTGGAGCTGAACATCTCAGTTGGGGAGAGCGGCGATCGTCTCACGAGAGC